GACCCAGGCCCTACGCCCGCCAGCCCGCCTCGCAGCTCCGGACGGCTGCCGGGGCCGGCCTGCTTCCCGGGCCCGCAGCGCGCCGGAGAAGGGCGTTCACGTGATGCAGGTTAACAGGGAAGCTAATCGTGCTGGTGTTGCCTGCGTTTTGGTAACAACGGCCTGATCGGACCTCGGCCCGCAGGCTGCTGGCAGGGAGGGGTGTTACCCAGGGTGGAAATCCTCCCATTTCCTCTTTTTTAGTTCTCACCGGGGATATTTTTCCCATTGCTTTTCCGAGTGGAAGGGAGAGGGAGAGAGAGAGAAACACTGATGCGAGAGGGACACATCGATGGGATGCCTCCTGCACTCACACGACCAGGCGATGGAGCCTGCAACCCAGGTATGTGCCCTTGGCCAGAATCAAACCCGGGACCCTTCAGTCTGTGGGCTGACGCTCTAACCACTGAGCCAAACCGACGGGGGCTGGAATCCTCACATTTTAACCTGAAACGGGCCCACCGGGAGGAGCGACAGAGGGAGGCGGTCCCATCACGCCTTCTCCACGGCGCCCCCACCCGCGTGGCTGGTAACGAGGGCTCCCGCCTGTCCTGGCTTCCCTTGGCGCACTCCGCAGGCAGGAAAGGTGACAATCCCAGCTGCCTCCTTTCTGTGTGTGCGTTTGTGTGCTAAGGGCACACAGGTAAGATCTACCCTCTTAGCAAATATTTACCGCAGAGCTTCACCAGGGGCTCTGGGGCGCACAGTGAATCTCTAGGACTCATTCCTCTTGCTGAGCTAAAATGCTAATACTCACAACAGTCATAAACCAAGGGGCAGAGGAAACCCCTGGGGGGCCGGGCGTGTCCCGCAGACTGTGGGGGGCTTCGCAGGCCTACGCTTGTCTCCAGACTCACCAAGCTGTGTACACTAAAGACCTACAGCTTTTCTTTATGGCAATCGCACCTCAATCAAGCGGTTTAAAAACAAACAAACCAAAAACCAAAACGGTTTCCGGTGCCTGACTCTCTTCCCGGCCACGTTTTCTGGCAAAGGCAGCTGGGTCCGGAGAAGCCTCTGGAATCCCGGAATCCTACTGTGTTTTCCTCACCCTGCTTTGGGGACAAATCGGCCAAACCAGTAAGTCACCAGATAAAGCCACGTGTCTCTCTCTCTCTCCAACAGAAGGGAATTCGGGGCTCCGGGCTTTCACCGCCCACAGGGAGTGTCTGAGGACCCGATGCTGGGCTGCGGGACGGCGGACAAGTCACTGATCTTCTGGGCACCTCAGTTTTCTCATCCATAAAACGGGAGTGACGATAACATCCGCCTCACGGGGCTGGTGTGAGGTTTAAATGAGCTCTCAGAGGTCAAGTGCAGGACCCGGGACGTCTGGTCACCCACGAGGTCACCAGGCAAAAAGCGAACGACCCCTCCTCCCCAGCTGCTGCCCCCAGCCCACCTCGGGTGGGGACCGGGCTTGGCAATGCTCTTGACGTGCAGGGTGGCTTTCTTTCGATCACACAAGAACAGGGGCATCGGGACCAGGCAGCTGAGGAGATCAAGGTGCTCTGGCCGGGATCACAGCCTTTGCCTAAATACCTGATTCTATCCCTGGCCCCGGCCCCAAGGTCAAAGATCACGGCCCAGAACACAGAGACTGGGAGAGAGGGCCAAGGTGGCCCCTTGTTGGACGCCAACTCCTCTTATCCGACCCATCGCTGGACAGGCAGGAGGACTGCTTGTGAACTGGGCACTGAAGACACAAGCTGGGCTTTGTCAGGAAAAGAAGATGGGGGGCCGGGGCGGTGGTTCCTGGCCCTGGACTCAGCCTGTGCAAAGGCCAGGAAGGAAGCCATCAGCAGCACGACTTACCTAGATGTCTGCCAGCAACAAACACGCCTTAAGAACATTGTCTTAAATAGCCCGAATGGCCACAACAAGTAAACTGCCGTGTAGCCAGACAATGGAACGGCACTCGGGCATGACAAGCGGCCAAGTACTGGAAAATGCCACGGCCTTCTGCCTAGGTATCTGATTGCTTCCCGCCCCCGCCCCAAGGCCAGAGGTCACGGCCCAGAACACGGAGACTGGGAGAGAGGGTCAGTGTGACCCTCTTATCCAACCCGCCCATCCCTGGGCAGTCAGGAGGGCTGCCCAGTTTAAAAAAAGAGTTTTTAAAAAGACGGAGACAGCCCTAGAGGGTTTGGCTCAAATGGACTGAAGGGTCCACACACAGCCTGTGTCCCCACGGGGCCCTGAGCACAGGTTGAAGTTAATCATTAACCCAACCTGGCCACTGAATTACAAAACCGAATTCACCCTCACCCCCTGCCCGATAACAGAAAACAGGCTCCCGAGGAAACACCTCTGACCAGAAGGGCCAAGAGCCGGCTCGCCCGTACGAGGCCCTGGTCCTGGGACAGGAACCAGGACCTCACCCTGCCCACCCCAGGCTGGCCAGCAACTCACTCACCACCACCCCCTGAATCCAAGGGCCCCAGAGGCACCTCCAGCCCCAGGGGGTCCATGAACTCTGGGAGCACTGCAGCCAGGGCTGATTCAACCTGGGACTGGACCACACCCTTGGCTAATGTTCCGACTTCTTTTAGATTTTGAAAGCCGCCGAGAAGAAAGAAAAGTTTTTGGAAGGAAACTCAAGCACACTGAACAGTCAATGGGGTGGGTTGCTGAAACTAAGGAGCTGAGTCATCCCGGACTCCCCCATTTCCCTCCCACCCAACACCCTGCCGTCAGCAAGTCGTGGCTGCTGTCTCCCAGACACACCTGAAATCCACCCACTTCTCCCCAGCACCACGGGCCCCCAGGCACCGCTTGCTTGGACCAATGCAGTACCTGGCCTACTCCCTCCACGGAATCAACTTATCCTTTTAAAAGATACATTGGTCAGGTCACTCCCCTGCTCAAACGCCTCCCATGGCTCCCTATATATCTCAGAATAAAATCCAAATCCGTAACAATGACTTATGAGGTCTTATGCTGTGTGGCAAAGGGACCCCGATCTCTGGCCAGGATGCGGGGTCCACCCCACCCCTTTCTGGGAACCCTCCTACATCTGCAGCCTGAGCTGCTTCAATAAGACACTGGTCAGGCCCTAGCTGGTTGGGCTCAGTGGTTAGAGCATCCACTTCGGACTGAAGGGGTCCCGGGTTCGATTCTGGCCAAGGGCATGTACCTCGGTTGCCGGTTCAATCCGTGGCCCCGACTGGGGTGCCTGCAGGAGGCAACCAATTGAGGACACGCTCTCAGAAAAGCAACAAAAAAAATATTCTTGGGTAAGGATTAAAAAATAATAATTTTTAAAAAAAGACACCGGGCAGGATACACTCCGGGGGGCCCTTTGTTCTCACACTGAGACCCCTGCAGAGCAAGCCCCTTCCGGCTGCAGGCACACCAAGGCCTCCTCCGGACTTCGGAGACCAAAGGGCAGCAGGGCGTGGGACACAAGCGGGCACACCCCACAGAGCTCAGCCAGAGCGCGAGGGGGGCGCTGCGGGGCCCTGGAGGGTGGCCTCCGCCCTCCGCAACTGGGAGCTCTCCCCAAAGCAGGCCTCAGAGAGCCCGCAGCGTCCCTGGGACAGATGGGGGAGAGCGAAGGCCAGAGGTCACAGGGGTTCAGGAGCCCTAGGGGTCCCAGGAAGCTTCCTAGCTGGGCAGGGACCAACTAACCACTGAGACACACTTCCTCAGCCCCCCAACCGAAAGGGAACCACGCGCAAGGGGCAGGGGCCTCTGGGGGTGCAGGCTCCAGGGAATACCCGAACCATTAAGCAGGTTGATCATTTCAAAAACTCATCACCAGCCCGGCCAGCGTGGTTCAGTGGGATGGGCATCGTCCCGGGCACTAGGAGGTCGCTGGTTCGATTCCCGGTCAGGGCACAGGCCCCGGTTGCAGGCCCGATCCCCAGTCGGGGGCGTGCAGGAGGCAGCCGATCAATGACTCTCATCATTGATGTTTCTCTCTCTCTCCCGCTCCCTTCCTCTCTCTGAAATCAATAAAAACATATTTTAAAAAAATCAAATTCCAGGGATGGGGTCCAGCCATCTATGTTCTAACAAGGCCCCCAGGGAATCTGCTGCTCCAGACACTTAGAGCCACCGTGTCCAAGACAAGGATGGTGCACCGATGTCACTCGGGAAAGGGGAGATGGATTGGAAGGCACATGACCCGACGTCTGTGAAAGCAGGTGAGGGGCACCCGGGAAGCATTCGTTATATGGTTCTCTCGATTTTCATTCCTGCTTAAAATTTTTCATAACAAGTTTTTAAAATCACTTAAGATTTCTTAAACAACACCCCCCACACACACACCCAAAAAACCCCACAAACACAGCTGAGTCTTCTATCTTCCTGAAGCCAACCCCACAAACTCTTAGCCCAAGGTCAGATGCGGCCAGCGGGAATTTCCAAATATTTGAATTTGTCAGCAATATCTTAAAAACAGCGGATAAATCTGGAAGATGAGCCAGCACTGGGCCCCCATCCCCACAGGGCTGTGTGAGCAGCAGCTGCCCAGTAGGCGGGGTTGGCTCGGCAGCTTGCCGCAAGCCCCGCCGCTCCCTGTCGCCTCACACCAGGCTGCCTCACGCCTTT